GGGGGCGCCAGCCCTAGGAGATTGGATCTCCAAGGGGGGGCGATGGCCAAGGGGGTGGAGTGCCCCCCCAAGCAAAGTGGGGCGCCCCCACCCCTAGGGTTTCCAACCCTAGGCGCAGGGGGAGGCCCATGGGGGGCGCACCAGCCCACTAGGGGCTGGTTCCCCTCCCACTTTAGCCCTTGGGGCCCTCCGGGATAGGTGGCCCCGACCCGGTGGACCCCCGGGACCCTTTCAGTGGTCCCGGTACAATACCGATTACCCCCGAAACCTTCCCGATGGCCGAAACTTGACTTCCTATATATAAATCTTCACCTCCGGACCATTCCGGAACTCCACGTGACGTCCGGGATCTCATCGGGACTCCAAACAACTTTCGGGTTACCATATACTAATATCTCAACAACCCTAGCGTCACCGAACCTTAAGTGTGTAGACCCTACGGGTTCGGGAGACACGCAGACATGACCGAGACGACTCTCCGGTCAATAACCAACAACGGGATCCGAATACCCATGTTGGCTCCCACATGCTCCTCGATGATCTCATCGGATGAACCACGATGTCGAGGATTCAATCAATCCGTATACAATTCCCTTTGTCAATCGGCACGTTACTTGCCCGAGACTCGATCGTTGGTATCCCAATACCTCATTCAATCTCGTTACCGGCAAGTCACTTTACTCGTACCATAATGCATGATCCCGTGATCAACCACTTGGTCACATTGAGCTCATTATGATGATGCATTACCGAGTGGGCCCAGAGATACCTCTCCGTCATACGGAGTGACAAATCCCAGTCTCGATTCGTGCCAACCCAACAGACACTTTCGGAGATACCTGTAGTGTACCTTTATAGTCACCCAGTTACGTTGTGACGTTTGGCACACCCAAAGCACTCCTATGGTATCCGGGAGTTGCACAATCTAATGGTCTAAGAAAATGATACTTGACATTCGGAAAAGCTATAGAAAATGAACTACACGATCTTTGAGCTATGCTAAGGATTGGGTCTTGTCCATCACATCATTCTCCTAATGATGTGATCCCGTTATCAATGACATCCAATGTCCATAGTCAGGAAACCATGACTATCTTTTGATCAACGAGCTAGTCAACTAGAGGCTCACTAGGGACGTGTTGTGGTCTATGTATTCACACATATATTACGATTTCCGGATAACACAATTATAGCATGAACAATAGACAATTATCATGAACAAAGAAATATAACAATAACCATTTTATTATTGCCTCTAGGGCATATTTCCTTCCTCGCCAAATAGGTGGCGTATAAAATGAGTCAAAGAGTCAACGCTTTCTAAGTTTTACCAAGAATATATAGAAAAATATGAATATAAGAAAACAAAAACAATATCAATATATCCAACATTAGATATATTTCCATAATATATTATTCAATATTGTAGATGCTGATATTTTCTTCTATATATTTGGTCAAACATATAAATTAACTGACTTTTTAATAGAATATATGCTCCCTGGTGAATAGTAAATTTAAGAAAAGTAATAAAATTTAAAATTATGATTTTTTTTGTAGATGTTCATGTTAGTGTAACAAGCGTGCTTGCCAATTTTCATGCGAAAGGAGATAGCAGTGTTTCGTCGGTGAGGAAAAAAACAACAAAATTAAGTGCAACATTTGGAGGTACTATTTGTCGTTCAACTTGTTTTCTTGTGCACAGGTCAACATGCTTTAAGCTTTCCCCCCTAGAAATTTGCAAAAAATTGACCTTGGCAAAATACATTTTTGGTGCGCAGAAGCATATACTCCCTAGAGCCAAGCAATATCCGATTTATATGCCACTTATTTGGGGACAGAGGGAGGAGTTCAACGAAATGAATTGCACATTTGTGACACAATGGTGTGTTGAAGCATCTTTTACTTCCCATGAAACTTTGAATAAGAATTAGCATAAATAATTACTGCTATATTTTTCAAACACATTTGTGTGACCGGCCAGGACCTGATAGTATGGGTACACTTACCATCCAATGTGGCGAGGATGCTTGGACCAACTACACTCCATGTCAAATTGTTGCCTTTTCTTAGGGCTGAGTTTGCACTTGGTTCTCTCATGTCCATGTAAGTAGAGTCAAAATAGCGCGATACAAGTGATACACGAGACACTTGTAACTAACTCGACTGGGTAAGGTTTAGGCTTTACCCGCTCTACACTTAACACGTCCTAGTACCATATAAGCTTCAATTTTAGAGTGGCCATCATGTCAGAGCAACCTCAACCATTAAGTGTGATTAGAAATGGTTTTGTTTGTGCTAAATATGGTTGTACTTTGGTACAAGTATCTAGTTCAAAATGAAGTTTATTCAACCTTTCATAAAATTG